TTCCCTTCCCATACCCAACTCCTCAGTAAATCCTGTTGGCTCAATCTTCACCGTATATTCAGAAACTGAACCTCTTTCATTTCCATGCTACCACTCTTGGCTATGGGTACACCATCTCTCACTCGGATTGCTGTAATACTCTGCTGACTGGTCTCCCTGCTTCTGCCAAATCTCCTCTCCATGCTACTGATCCTTTCAAAACCTGAAGTTCAATCATATTTTCCTTTGCACAAAATCCTTCTATCTCCCTTGCAGTAAACTCTAGGTCCTTGCCATAGCGACCCCTTTGTCCCCAAATCTCTCTCTCCACTTTCCCTTACTTACTCTGCTCTGGCCGCTCTAGCCTCCTTCCTGTTACTCAAGCATGAACATACCAGAGAACTCCTGTTTTGGAACCTCTGCACTTCCTGTGGTCTCTGCTTAGAACACTCTCTCCCTGGATTATTTACATGGTTTACTCTCAACTTCCTTCAGGGCTTTGTTCAAATATCACCGACAGAGATACCTATCCTGACCACCCTACATGAAATAGTACCCCTTCCACTCTCTATGCTCTTTATCCTGGTTTATTTGTCTTCACAGCACTTAGAACCACCTGCATTTACTTAGAATATAATTCCATGAGGGATTTTTTTCCTGTGTTTTTCTGAAATATATAACCTGATTTGAGAACAGGGCCTGGCACACAGTAGGTCATTAATAAAATTTACGAAATGACAGTATGAATCACTTTCCCTTAACACTCAATTCCAGCTGAACAAGCTTGAAGACATTCAATTTTGTGTATTTTCTTTCCACTAGAAGTGGCTTATTCTTCTTATAGAATATGACTAAGGAGACATATCTACTTAGAAGACTTTTATTATCTGGGGAAAAAATGGTGGCACAATTCTTCAAAATGAAATAAAATTACTTTTAAAAAATTCAAACTTACCCAACAAGCAGCTGCTGATGACTGCAAATACTTTACAAACCATTCTGAAGTGAAAGACATGCCCTATTCACAAAAAAGATAAGTTTTAGTTTCAAGTTCAAACGAAGATTCCTTACCTACATTGCTAGGAAAACATTAATATGCATATTTTCCAATGGGAAATGGCTACTATTACTTTCTCAATGTTATCAGAAAATAGTTTAAATGGGAATATAAGAATTAATTCTAACCAAACTCAGTTATTACAAATCAGGACTTTACTGCAAAATCATGTCACTTAGGCAAAAGATATAAGGAAACAAAGTATGTCTCTATAATCCGAAAAAACTATTATGCCCATTTTAGTAATATAAAAAACAAAGAACAAAATGGCAAAAAATAAAAGAAAACCTGGATACTGATTTAGTATTTCATGGTTAACATTTGCTGATTTAGGATTATTATACTGTATTAAATTGGCAAGTCATAAAAGAGAAATATTTATGAATGCTTTCTAAGCAATAGGAAATTGGGGATATAGAGAGTAACATTTAAAATCTCCAAAGTGGTGATTCTCAAACAATGATGAACATCAGAATCACCTGTGAGATTTCCTAAGAACAGAAAATGCCTGGCTGCATTCCAAATCAATCTCCAGGAGGAACCAAGGCATGCATGTTTTCTGAAAGCTGCAGATACAAATCTCTGCTAAGAACCACTGCTTTAGAGCTTACCTGCACATGTTGCTAAAAACTGACACACTGAGAAACACCCTTCAGGGTAATTTACTGGACATGTACAGAGGAGATAAAACCAAATTATATGGAACATGGCACCAGAGCTATCAAAAAAAAAAAACCTAAAATAAAATTATAAGTCACTATTTTCATCTTTTTAAGGAGCAAGAATTCTTACTTTTTATGAAAAAAACCCACATCTGTGTATAAGATTGAAGATCACATTAAAAAAAACTAAAGTTTTTTAAGTAAAAAAATGGAAAGCAATGACAACAGTGCTTGGAAATTCATGTAAAATAAACCCACAGACATTTCTAGTGGCAGTGTTAAAGCTGCATGATCCTTTCATAAAATAGTATCTACAAGTTTTAAACCAGGAATTTACAAACACTTAGGAAATTTTTCTTAGGGAAATAATCTCCCCAAAAGGAAAAACATATCTATTTGCATAAAATGGTTGACAGCAATATTATTAATAGAACACCTAAATATTCAAAGGCACTACAATTACATAAATTTCAGTGCATTAATGAGAGTGTTAGGTAGCTATTAAAAATTATATTGGTTGAGCCTGTAACATGGTATAGAGAAACCAAGGAAGTGCAAAAGGATTGATGGAGACATGTCAAAATAACACAGGAGCTTATTTCAAAATTTGGAACAATTTGAGCTTTGAAAAGAAAAATAAAAGTAAACAATTATAACACACTGAATAAACAAAGATTTCATGACTTCGCAAAAAAGTAAAAACAAAAAAAGCACAGAAAGAAAGGAAATCTTTACAGAAGATTGCTAGCTAATAAATGTAGAGGGAGTAAGAGAACTGTGAAATTATTTTGAAATGACCAATTTAAAACTTGATTCAGGCAAGGTTGGTTCATCAATGGCTACCAAATGGATAAGTAGTCTCAAAGTAAAATCTCAAAACTAACTTATTAATCACAGTCCCTTTACAATGAAGAGAAATGGCAAATATCATAGTCACCAGGCAATCAAATTTAGCATCACCAGGAACTGGACCACTTAACACGTGCTCTTTGTTATGATGCAATGGCTGCACACAACACTATATCATATTCTTGCAAAAAAGATGTTTCTCTGAGTCTAATCATGAGAAGACAATCAGAAAAGTCCACATTGTGGGATACTCCACAAGAGAGCTGACCTTGACTCTGCATGTCAATGGCATAAAAGCAAAAACAACAAAAACACCAACAAAAACCACAAAAGCAAAACATAGTAGGGTCTAGATTAAAGAAAACTAAAAGACTAATTGCAGTGTGGGATCCTTAAATGGATCCTTGGACTCTCGCCTCCCCATCTTCCTGCCCCTGCAAAAAGAGGAGGGAGCATAAAGGTCATTACACAAACAAGAGAGGAAATTTGGAAATGAACAGTCTATCAGGTAATTCTATTACATTAATTTTAAATTTCTTTGGTGTGATACCAGGAAAAACCCCCTTGTTCTTAGGAGCTACATAATAAAATATTTAGGAGTGAAGTATCATACATCTACAACTTATTTTCAAGTGGCTCAGAAAAAAAAAGTGTGTGTGTGTGTGTGTGCGCATTTTACATGCACATGGAAAGATAAAGCAAATGCAGCAAAACATTAATGGTTGGTTAACCTAGGCGAAAGATATATATACAGTCATGGTCTCTATT